CCAACTTCCAGGAGCATCGGATGAGCATCTGACAAGGCCCTGCTCCCTCCTCATGTCCAGGCCACCTGGCCAGTGGCTTGGCATGAGCAACTCTAAGGCTGGTAACTATGATAACAACCTTGCAGAACCTGTGTGTGTGTGTGTATGAATGAATGAATGTGTGAATAAATATGAGATTGAATGGAATGTTATAACTATAACTGCTTACTATGATTCTTTCTGTATTCACAATAAATGTGGTATTTTGCCTTTTTCCCTTTAATAAGATCCTGCTGGTTTTTATTTTATTGGTATAACAGCACTCTGGATGCCAGTGATAAGAATATCTCTTCAACCCACTTGCATAGATTTGGTTGTAAACAGACTTATTAAACTTACTCTAGACAAACATAGGAACAACAGTAGTAACTAATGGCAGATAGTCCTTTTCCATACACAAAGACACAAAACACAGAGCTCAGAGCCACATGCATGAGCCAACAAGCAAGAAAAAATCAATCACATTCATTAAATATGATTAGATAGACTATAAGGACAATGAATGTAAAGCACAATGTTGGTCCTGTGGGTAGGACACAGGGCTGAAATTAGGAGGCCTGTGTTCTAGTCCTGTCTCTGCCACAGCCTCACTGTATGATCGTAGACAGACCAGTTAACTTCTCTGTTCTTCAGTTAGTGATACATATTCACCTTTATAAACTGCTTTGGGTATACAGCTGTCAAGTGCTAAGTAGTATTATTAGGATAGCACTTACCTGACCTGAACCATATATGCAATCTGTAATTATTCCACATTCTCTAACACCAGAATTACTCAACCTATTAAACAGCTTTACTCAGATATCAATTAACAAAATGGGAATTTGGGGTACAGAAGAAATGCAAATGGGGCCTGTTTGATTAACACTGATATGTTCAAAGGGACAGAAATTGAGATGTATTTAATCATAGAATCATAGAATATCAGGGTTGGAAGGGACCTCAGGAGGTCATCTAGTCCAAACCCCTTGTCAAAGCAGGACCAATCCCCAACTAAATCATCCCAGCCAGGGCTTTGTCAAGCCTGACCTTAAAAACCTCTAAGGAAGGAGATTCCACCACCTCCCTAGGTAACCCATTCCAGTGCTTCACCATCCTCCTAGTGAAGAAGTTTTTCCTAATATCCAACCTAAACCTCCCGCACTGCAACTTGAGACCATTACTCCTTGTTCTGTCATCTGGTACCACTGAGAACAGTCTAGCTCCATCCTCTTTGGAACCCCCTTTCAGGTAGTTGAAAGCAGCTATCAAATCCCCCCTCATTCTTCTCTTCTGCAGACTAAATAATCCAAGTTCCCTCAGCCCCTCCTCATAAATCATGTGCTCCAGCCCCCTTGACAAGAAAGAGCCCAGAAACATGAAGGTAGGGCAGGAAACACACCCTTAGGGAGGGCTTGTTCGGGATTTAAGTAATTGTGTCATAGTTAATTTCCTGGGACAGGCTTTTCATCTTACTTAGTGCAATTTACACCAGTGTGAATCAGTAATAACGCCACTGAAGTAACCAGGGTCATACCAGTATGAACCTGCCCATATTCTAATTAAATTATTAGTTAGGACTTAAAATGAGACAAAATTAGAAAAACAATAAAAGATAATGGAGAAATACAGATTGTGTTAGGTGAAACTGAATGGAATAAAGCAACTATGGGGAAGGGCACACCAGGAAAATGGAAAAAGTTCACTGCTGAATTATGTATGTCCCAGGTTAAGTGTGCTATCTAGTAATAAACAGAGTAGAATAAAAAAGTCTAAGGTGGATGAAAATAAAAGTGCAAAAAGTCTTTAAAATAAATTAGAGGTAGCTGCAAAAATTGAAGGCCTGATTGCATTTCCACTGAAGTCATGGTGAGTGTTAAGTCCACAGGCATATGACTCATCCAGAGCAGACACAAAATAAAATTAGGAGGCATGATAAGGAAATTGAAAATGGAGAATTAAAATATAAAGGAGGTTTATTAGGTGCTCCAATTTATCCTTATTCATAATAAAATAAAAGTAACTGAAAGGCAACAAATTTAAAACTGGTAAACACTTTTAACACAACATATAAAGTTACCAGTGGAACTGGTTGGATTGTGTCCTAAGAACTAAGTAATATTGTAAAAAAGGATGAGACATTTATATGAATAATGAGAACATCCACAATTACTTTAGATAGGATAAAAAAATTATAGGGGATAAAAAAAACCTCATGCTTAAGGTTGTAAGTCAACCACTAACTGGTATAGGAGGATTAGGAGGAAAGTTCTATGACTAGGTTATTCCATAGCAGTTCATTGTAGGGATTTCTGCACTGCTCTCTGGTAGAGCCAAGATACTGGATTAGACAGACTGGTCTGATCAATATAGCAGTTCCTATGTTCCTCTATTCTCACAGATGATTTACTGACTGAAGAGGTAGATGATGCTAAAAAAAAAAAAATGAATTATTTACTCTAGTCTTTAAAAGGCAAATGTGTGACGCATACTAAAACCACCCAGGAATTTTACTGGGGAAGAAGGAAATACTGAAACAAATTGGGATTATGCTAGAATATATAGTAAATAAATTAAAATTATCTAAAGACTGACAAAATTACAGAACCAGATAGTAGCCATAGAGGAAATCTGAAGAAACTGGCAAAAGAGATAAGTGAAGTCACAATAAATATAATTAAAATATATTTGGAAAAATAAGATACTTATAAACTAAAGAAAACCTAATGTAACATCTACATGCAAGAAGTATTAATAAAATCCAGGAAGTTATCAATATGATTTATTTTTAAAAATCATATATTTTTGTTGTATACTTGCATTGTGCTTTAGAAATATGTGGCCCAATCCTGCAACTGGAGCCACGTGGGCATACCCTTATATCCACTGAGAAGCCCCACTGATATCAGCAGGGCGCTGCACTTTCCTAGGGATCCACTCATATACACCTGACTGCATGACTGGGGCCTTCATGCATTATGAAAGGTGTTCTGACACTGCTTTTCATATGTTCCCAGTCTTGTGAGTAAATATATAATCATACCCCAAAATTCCACTAACCCTAACTGCATCTCATTTACTGGAGAGATTGAAACAATTTCTACTGAACAATTCTTGAAAAGAAAAGGAGTACTTGTGGCACCTTAGAGACTAAGAAATTTATTTGAGCATAAGCTTTCGTGAGCTACAGCTCATTTCATGAATGCATCCAATGAAGTGGGCTGTAGCTCACGAAAGCTTATGCGCAAATAAATTTCTTAGTCTCTAAGGTGCCACAAGTACTCCTTTTCTTTTTGCGGATACAGACTAACACGGCTGCTACTCTGAAACCTGAGCCATTCTTGTCTCACATGTTTACTGGGCAGATGTTTTATAACAGGTGTCAGGTACCATATAATATTCCGCAATGTATTGGTGGAGCCAAGTCCTGTCAGGTTTCTTATGTACATACTAGGATGCATTTTATTGGTAATTTTAAAAAATTATAAACTTGTGGGGTAGATTTATTTCCTTATTTATTTTATTTACATTTTTACAGCATTTTACAGGAGGTATCGCCTCTAAGCACTTAAGCCGTAGTTGCATGAGTGATAGATGATCTCAAAAATATATATGTCTCAAAATGCCAAAAGTAGTTCAACTGTAATAGGGGCTAATTGCTGGCCAATGTATTTACTTAAAATCCAAACTATTATATACTGACTATATAAAAGGATTCAAAACGGGAAAACTTATTGAAAAGAAATGAACTGCATAAATAAGACACATCTATTCACTGGATAAACCCTAGATGGTTAACATTTGAAAAATTATTAAATTAAAGGTGTTTCACTTATATCATTATGGGATATCTTATTTTTGTCAAATTCAAAAATTTGAAAGTATATACATTTGAATATGCATGGTGAATATAGGTACAGCTGTCTAGGTCCTTATATCTTATACTATTGCTGTACTGTCAAAATTCATTGCAAATACTAATAATTTTTTCCTCGCAATACCCTGGTAGGGAAACATTCTTCCCATTTTACAGAGAGGTAAATCAGACAGGGAGAGGTTAAATCTGACTTCCCAGGGTAACACAGGAAGTCGGTGATAGAGGCAGAAATTGAATCCAGGTGTTCCCAGCCCTAGGGCAGTACTTTAACCATGGGATGCTGCTTGGCTTTACTGGCGTTAATCTGGAGTAGGTCGATTGATGTGGAGTGACACAGGGGCATAACTGAGAGCGGAATTTGACCCCCCTAAATGTAACGCTGAGTTACAATATAACATGTACCTTGTAGGCTATTTGTTTTGAAATGTCACACACGTTTTGTCTCCGAATAAAAACAAAATGTTTATGAACTGGTCAACTTTGATTCTGGCACAATTTAAAAGCAAAACTCCAATCTTCTATTTCAAGAGCAACCAACCCCGTCTTGGTTTGGCCTTGGGGTGGGGTGTCGAATTTCAAAGCGGACCAAGGGTTGGAAGCCGGGCTGCGTTACGCAAGTGAAGAAGCTGCCTCCGGGGGTCCCAATAATAAAGCTTGCGCGGGATGGGTTATTTGCGGGGCCGATGCTAGATGTCACCTTCCCTCACCCCGCCGAGCAAAACCCAACGTCTCTGCCTTTACCCGCCTAGTGCCAGCTGGTGCGGGCAGAACAGCAGCAGCAACTCCGACCTCGTGTCTTTGACAGCAACAATGGAAAGGGTCCCAGGCGGGGCGAGGGAGGAACGGAAGCTAAGCGGGACTTTCCCCCGGCCCCTGCGAGACCCGCCCTGCCTCGCCCCCTAGTGCTCCCGGACCTCCAGCCCACCCCCGCCCGGGCCCCACTCCAGGAGGCAGCGCGCGGCCGGGGTCTGGGGCCGCCGCCCGCTGCCCTCCAGTGCTCGGCCGGGGCCGCCTTGCTGGCGTGGGGGAGCCGGGAGGGGCGGCGCCAGCTCCCGCCCCTGCGCGGAGCCGGGAGAGGGGGACCCAGTCGCTCGCTCGCTCGCGGGCTCCAGCAGGCACCTGCCGCCAGCCAGCCAGCCGGGATCAGGCTGCAGCTCCCGGCGGGGCGGCCCCTCCCAGCGGCAGCCGGAGCCCTGTCCTCCTTTGCAGGGACCTTCCGAGCCAGCCGCCAAGTTGAAGCCCGGCGCTGTGCACCGGGTGTCTGTGGCGGGGCAAGCGCCTGAGCTCCCGGCTGATGCATCCACCAGCCGCAGCTTTTCCCCAGGTACCGGCCAGTGCAGAGTGGGTGGGAAGGGGAAGGAGAAGGGGGAGGGGGGAAAGTAAGGTGTCCCCTGCGCCAGGATGAAGTTTGTGTGATGGGCATTAGGAGCCCCCGATCCCCCTGACCTCAGTGGGTGGCGGCTGCAGGATGGAGCCCAGCCGTGCCCAAGTCATTGCGCTCTCCGGGGGGATCGCAGCGCGTGTGCCGGGGCAGAGCGGTTGGGGGCAGACGGGCGGCTGGGCGCGGTGGCAGGAACTTTCTGTGCCCCCCGGAGCCTTTTCTCTCGCCTCCCGTCTTTCCGGGCTCGTCCGGGAGGCTCGCTAATAGCCTGCATGGCTGCGAGCAACGAGCGCTGCAGGGGGCTCCCCCCCGTTTGATTTCTGAGCAGAAAGGAGCCAGCAACTTCAGTCAAATGTGTGTCTGGGGGGGTGGGGGTTCCCCTCCCGGTCGTGTTACGGAGCAGGAGCAAAGAGCGGCTGTTTGGACGCCAGCTCGCATTTGGTCCGTCCCCTGGGTTGCCCCTCGAGTTGGCAGATTAAGATGCGTGTGAGCTGAAATCCCACAATGATGCTTTCCTCAGAGCGTCTGCCTGGTGCTGGGGCACGGCGAGAGAGCAGGCTCCAGGCAGAGCCCAGCCGCCTCCTGCTCTGCCCGGGGCCAAACCAGGGGCGCCAGCAGCAGAAGCACCCCGAGGCCAGTCAGGTTTTTCCTTCTGAGCTTTTGGGAGGTATCGCCTCTAAGCTGCTCTTCTGCCTCCTCCCCAGGGCTGCAAGGCATAGGTGCTGGAACTGGGGGTGCTCACTCCCCCCCTGGCTTGCAGTGCTTTCCATTAGATACAGGGTTTTGGTTCAATGGCTCTGAGCACCCCAGGCTGCAAGGGGAAATTTACAGGGGCACCGGATAATACCCTGCCACAGAGTCCACTCAAAACCTGTCTGGGGGTAAAATGCTGAGAAGTGTTTGAGTTGCTCTTTGAGGGTTCGCTGATGGTGGGAGCTCTGATTGTCACTCGCTGTTGTGTGGCTTCCCTGGCACTCTTTGCATGCCCACTGCAATGCTTGATTCTTCTCCTTTTCTGGTATAGTCATCTCTTTTGTTGTTGATTGCATTTTTTTTAATAGGAATGTGAGCAGATGTATATTTAAATTCAGACAAAATGTATTGAAATGAGTGGGGTCTCCATTTCCATGTACCTTTTGTTTGATGGAATCTCATATAAATCAGAGAGCCTTAGTTGTTGTGCACTAGATCAGAGGTTCTCAAAGTGGGGTCGGGACCCCTCAGGGGTCGTGAGGTTATTACATGGGGGGTTGCGAGTTGTCAGCCTCCACCCCAAACACTGCTTTGCCTCCAGCATTTATGATGGTGTTAAATATATAAAAAGTGTCTTTAATTTATAAGGGGGATTGCACTCAGAGGCATACTATGTGAAAGGGGTCACCAGTGCAAAAGTGTGAGAACCACTGTGCTAGATGCTTTCCACTTGCAATTAGTGCAGTTTAAAGTTCATTATTTTACATAAAATGATATATGTATTAGTTGATAAATTAGAAATCAGTTGGCCCCACTGAAGACCTTGTTCACTGTGCTGTCTATAATATCTTAATTGCAGATCTCTCCTTTCCCTTGAGGAGCTATGGCTTTTAACTCCCTTATGATGCCGGGCGTTAAAACCTCATTTGAAGTTTAAGTGGTAAATAGGGTTGCCAACTTTCTACTTGCAGAAAACTGAACACCCTTGCCCCACCCCTACTGTGAGGCCCCACCCCTTCTCACTCCATCCTCCCTCTGTTGCTCACTCTCCCCCACCCTCAATCACTCACTCATTTGCACTGGGCTGGGGGTTCGGGTGCAGGAAAGGGTGAGGGCTCTGGCTGAGAGTCAGGGCTTAATTATGAAATGGCTTTTAAACACTGCACACGAACAAAACTTTTGGCTCAGAGTTTCACATGTGATACCTCTGTGAATAATCCTTGTGAAGGGCCAGATCCTATAACTGAATCCATGTGGGCAAACCCCCGCATCCAGGTGGATTCAGTTGTAGGATCTAGCCCTAAATATATGGCTCCAACATTTTTTCCTCTTTAGAGTACTGCCCATTTCACAATAGCAGTCCATTTTGAGAGAACTGTTAAACTTCCGGAGTGCACACGTTGCTTTGAGAAGGCTTATAATGCTTCTCAGACTTCCCTTCTCGTGTGTGTTGAGTCCTGGGGGATATTGCTTCAATACCTGACCAGGACTTTAGAATAGTCAAAGAAGAGACTGTTTGTGAGAGTTCTGTGAGTCACCTTGTTACTCTGCCTCTAGTAAGAGGGGGGCAACAGGACTCCCCGCAGGGAGTCTAGGCGGCAGCCTGAGCCGGGAGCCTGGGTGGCAGCCTGGCTTGGAAAGAAGATTGGGCACCAGCTGGGGAGCTGGCATTCTTGTCAATTTCATGACTCCACTGACAGCCATTAGATGTAAGTAATGCAGCGTCTACAGGGACGCTGAGTTACCCTAGCTCAGTGGTCCCCAACCTTTCTCTGGGAATAGCACATTCCTATTCCCAAAAGACTGTGGCAGGCGCCAAATACCCCGCCACCGAAATGCTGCCGAGAAGCGGCAGCGGCAAGAAGCGCCACTGCTGAAATGCCGCCAAGAAACGGCAACGCTTCTCGGTGGCATTTCGGCAGGTGGTTCTCCAGCGGCCGCACTCGGCAATGGCATTTTGGCGGCGCAGTATCCTGTGGGCGCACACAACTGCCCTGGTGGGCACCATTGCACCTGCAGGCACCGCGTTGGGGACCCCTGCCCTAGCTTTACCTATGTAAATCCTACGCCTCTCGTGGAGGTGAAATTATTATGTCCGTGTAGTGGGCACTTATGTTAGCAGGAGCAAGGCTGTTGTGTGTACACTGACGTAATTAGGTCAACACAAGCTGCCTTACGTCGACCTAACACTGTATTGTAGACCAGGCCTTTGTCTTGAATGGTAATAGTGGGTCCATCCCATCACCAAGCCTTCTTGAATCGTTCTCCTGTGATATCCAGTCCCTGACACTGGCTACTCACAATTCCAGATCTTCTGTTCCTAAAGGAGCAGTGCACCCAGTTGACCAATTTTACCTTAAACCACTGCTCCTGCAAACCACCACAGCACTTATAAGCACTTAAAATAAATCAAGAAAAGGGTTATTTAAGAAAGAATAGGGGTTGCACTAGAAACAAGAGAGAGTGGTGGAAATAAATAGCCACAAAACAAAACATAAAATGCAAACCTGGGTCTACGTTTATCAATAGCTACCTTTCCTATTTAATAAAGTAGATTTCCCTCCAAAGTCCAGTCTGTTGAAGAGCTAGCTGGTTTCTACCAGGAACCAAAAGCTGAAGTTCATGAAAGCATCTATCTCCAGTCAGGGGTTTCTGCACAGTGAATGGATATAGTGTGTCTTTCCCTGCAAGCTGTTATAGTGAAAGTCTTTTGTTTCCATTCACAGGCAGGGCAAACCCCTGCCTTGCTGTAGAGTTCTTTTCTACCTTTATGTGGTTTTGATTGTGTGTTTGTCATTGTCTGATGGTTTTCCATTAACTGCTCTGGATGTGGCAAGGGTAGACAACAGAACATTGCATTATCTCACCAGCTGAGTAAGGAGGGATGACAACTCCCTCTTGCTTGAATGGCACATTACCCCCGGTGATCAATCTCTACACCAAGTCCATAAAGCATACTTTCAATATAAATATACTATTCCTTAAATATTACCCTTATCTATGTCTCACAATGGGTACGAGGCTTGACAAGCTATGAGCTTTCTGTACATACCTTACATGTTACTCTTAATGGATACTTATCCTGTCAGAAATGCATTTGGTATAATGAGTTTGTCAGGTCTGAGCTGAGAGTTGTTTGCAAGGAACAAGGGATCCTTTGCCAACAGGTCTTTGTGTCACTTGCCCCCAGAAAAATCCATCCCAAATTTTACGTTTAATCCAGTGCATGCTGGGAGAGGACTTCGGGGAATTTAGTGAATATTATGTGAATACTCTTGCAGCATGGACATGACCAATAAAGACTGTAGTTACGTGCTTCACTGTGGTGCCTCAGGGTTGGTTTAAGGAGCTCCCAGTAATCTAGGAGACAGTCTAGTGCTGGTTGTTCCCCAAGTTGCTTTTCTGTGCATGGTGGCCCATAATTACATGCAGAGGAGAAAGATAGGAATGTACATTAAAGGCAGCACTGGGGAAGCTGAACACCAGGCCTGGTCCAGTAGGAGTTTTGCATGCATAAGGACTATGGGATTGTACCTGGTACACTTCCAAGATTAGTATAAGTGGTAGTAGGGGAAAACTATTAGATCCAGTTAATTCCCAAAGGACTTTAAGTTTGTATGCTGTTTGGTGGAGGAATAAATAAGAAATAATGAAGTATGGGTAACATTTGCAAAAGTGCCCATCTCCCATTTTCAAAAGTGACTTAGGCATTTTGGACAATATTTTTAAATGAATTTAAATTACCTTTAAAAATATGTCCCTTAAGAGCCTAGGTCTCAACAAAAATCAATGTGACTTAAGCGCCTAAGTCCTCTAAGGTATGTCTACATTGCAGTTGGAAGTGTGATTGCAGGTTGGGTAGGCATACCCATGCTATCTTTAATCTAGCTAGCACAGCTAAGAATAGCAATGAAACTGTAGGGAGTCTGGGCCTCAGCAAGGGCTGTGCAAGCCTGCCCCAAACCTTGGGTATGTACTTACGTTCCTAAACTGCGCTAAACCCCATGCCACTGGAGTTTTGCTGATATTTATGGCCATGCTAGCTAGATTAAAGCTAGTGCGGATATTCCTACTACCTGAGCTGCAGTCACACCTCTCATTGCAATGTAGACACACCTTTAGGCACTTCTGAAAAATTTACCTTATGTCTATAAGTTACAAGGACTCAGGATATTATGTTTGGAATTTCTTGTGGCAGTATTACAAGTGAGTGAAGCCCCCTGAACTTTGGCCTGGTGTTTCTCAAAAAT